ACTAAGGCTGTGGGGAGGTACCATCTGTTGTAGGCCATATTTTTGTAGTGTTCAGTGAAGGGTGCTACAGTTTTTGACATGGATTCAATATCTAGTTGTTGGTCATGGCAAGAAACATCTGGTTGCTCCCTTCACTCACATTTGTAGAGAAATCTTTGTTCCCAGTGAACCAGCCTCTACAAATACTTTATGGGCAAAACCACTTAGAAAGCAAATGAAGTACTTGAAAACGAGCCTTATGATCCAAACAGATCTTTCAGCAATATTAAAAAATAGAGTAAAAGCAAGACAGTCAATTAATTTACTCCCCCTGAATAAAAGGTTCAAAGGTGCTGACCATCTATGGCAGCAGACGGTAGAAAACATTTTCAGTGGGATTAAGACTCTTACAATATCCACAACACATGCAACCCCCAAGTTTACAAAGGAGACAAAGCTAAAAAGAACCCAATTATCTAACCTGTTAGTCAAAAGAATGACTTCAGAGCATACATCAGATTTGGTTTACTGCACAACGTGGAAATTCACTGTTTATAAAACAACTTACCTTCTCTAGGCATTGAAGTGTAACACAAAACCCCATAATCTTACTCAGTATTACAGGATACTGCTTGGGGTTTTTGGCAATTTTTTCCTGGTGTTAAAAGCCTGATATGTCAGTAAAAGAGTTAATGATAGATATATGTTAGTTCACACTACTTACTAAGAGACAAAGTAGATTTCATCTTCCTTTTTGACTGACTTATTTCCTTACCAGTTTCAACCACGTTAAACCCTTTCTGGCTGAGTTTGGAATCTGGATATCCTGCTATTAATTTCCCACTATTGCTCACTCATTCAAAACTCAGTTTGACACCTGCTATTGATTTGTGGCTTGACACCTACTCCATTCAAGTTTTCATCTAATGTCACCCTGCTTTGGTTAACAGTGGTAGTGTTTTGCCCTCATACCTTATTTCAGACTGATGCAAATATTTTCTGACAGCTGTATGATTTTTGGAACAAATCACTTCTGACTGTTAAGGGAACCCACCAAACCCCTTTCCATTCTGAGTGGTTCTTTGTATTTTATATCTTTTTCATACAGACAGGTTTCACTTTAAAAACATAAAAAAGTGACATACTTTCACTCCAGTGCACTTTCTGTTGTGTTTTCCAGGAAAAAAAATCTGTTGAGGAAGCTCCAATTTTATTCATCATTCTGAAGTGTGAGCTCTTTGCCAATTCTAATTGCAGTCTATGCACCAAAATGAGGATGCTATGAAAGATCCTAACTTGTTAACAAGGCCTGTTTGTTAGCTATGTGAAGAACAAATTATGCTGTAAGAAGTGCCTCAAGGTTTGATCTTACGTGGGGCATGTAACAACTAACTTCCAGGCAATTTCAAAAGTAGACTCCTTTCCTTGAATCCATCAACTCAAAAATAAGCAGGACATGGAAAGCCATGGAACCTGAAGGGCTAGAGCTGAAATGGCCTGTTCAAGAGCATGTAAGAGGCCAGAATCAGCACTGAAAATGAAACAAGTTCTCCGAGGACTCATTTATAGCCATGTATATAGAACCATGCTGCTTTAGATAGATATGATTACAGAGGGGATTATACAGATAAGTTTGGTGGTGTAAGGATGACAACATTAGTTCTTTTGAGTATTTCCAGTCTGAACTAGACGTTTCCAGGAGTGTATGCACTGCTGACTAATCTGGATATTTGTGCTGTTAGTTTACATACATTCCCCTATCCTAACAAATTACATCCTAAACTTACTGGGCAGGACAGAAAGAAGCCCCTAACATCGCTAATAATACACACGTGGGAGCAAGTAAGGCTACATTACGTTCAGCAGATAGCACACTGGCAACACACTACATCAGTGCAAGGCTCTCTTGTGTGCACTGTTCCTTCAAAGGTGCACTGCGTGTCACGGTCGTGCTGCGGGGCCAGCCGGGCGGCTCTCGCCACAGCCAGCGCTGCTCTTGTGCTGGAGACTTCCCTCTCTTCTCCCAGGTGGGAGCCCAATCCCACAGCATAGCAACAATAAACAAAATATTGAGTGCTGAGGCTGAACCAGAGCTGGCAGACAGTTACGAGCTCAATCTGTTACTTCCTCAGGAAGAGCAATTGCAAACTGACTCACAGCTCTACCCTCCTGGGAAACAGCTTCCTCCTACTCCTCTGAGCGTAGCACCGGCAAATCCCGGTCAGTGATGTTCTCCCTGTTACACAGCCAACTGCACCGGGGCCTCTCACTGCGGGGAAATTCGATCTTGTGTTGAGCTGCATTCAGATGAAATAGGCAAACTTTGGAAGTGTAATTATTTGTGAGGGTTATTTCGTGCTGATTAATGCAGTGCTGGCATAACATACATCCGGTGCAAGGGGTTGTTCCTGTGCACATTCAACAATATTTACCATACTTAAAACACGTGATTTTTCTGGTAGACTGTTTATCTGCCCTGTGTTCCCTTATCTGCCTCCAGAATAATTTTTTTTTGCAGTTTCCAGTGCATACGCATAATGTGTTTATACAGCCAGAAGAATGCCACCGTGCCGGTGAATCTACTGACTAAGCAAAACCAGGGTTTATTAAAAGCAGTGTCCCTTTGACTTGATCAGTGTGTAAGCCTTTTTTTAGGTTCGTCGTTCAAGAATTTAATTACTGGTGGTGTGGTATCTGTAAATATGTCAGTCAGTTTTACGGTAGCACAACGCTCCGCCTAGTGTCCAAGATGTAAATTGCAATTATAGTATTGCAATGCAATTTCTCTGTTTAAACAGAAAACTACGTGTAATAAAATCACAGGCAATACATCTGTATTCCCAATATTTCTAAAGGGGTGAATTTTACAGACTACTGGAGGCCTGAAATTCTAATTTCTTCTCGTTTGGAAGTCTTCAAATAACTATCACTTGGGTAACTCACTTCTCTTTAGTGTAGACAGTAAAGCACTAACACTCAAGGAGGTAATCTGCAGCAAAACTAATTTCACTTTCTATTAACTCCAGAAATGATCCAAACTTTACAAACTGTACAAGAAATGTTAATCATGATTTAAAGTTCATCTGTGCAGAGGGAGTATGTAGACATGCCTCAAGGCAATCCCAAGCACAGATACAGGCTGGGCAGTGAGTGGATTGAGAGCAGCCCTGTGAAGGACTTGAGGGTATTGGTGGGTGGAAAACTGACTGTGAGCCAGCAATGTGCACTCACAGCCGAGAAAGCCAACTGTGTCCTGGGCTGCATCAAGAGAAGTGTGGCCAGCAGGTCGAGGGAGGGGATTCTTCCCCTCTACTCTGCTCTTGTGAGACACACGCACACATGCACACACACACCATGTCCAGCTCGGGGGCCTGCAACATAAGAAGGGCATGGACCTACTTGAGTGGGTCCAGAGGAGGCCACAGTGGTGACGGGGGGGGCTGGAGCACCTTTGCTATGAGGACAGGCTGAGAGAGTTGGGGTTGTTCAGCCTAGAGAAGAGAAGGCTCCAGGGACACCTTATAGCAGCCTTCCAGTACTTAAAGGGGGCCTACACGAAAGCTGGGGAGGGTCTTTTTACAAGGGCATGTAGTGATAGGACAAGGGGTAATGGCCTTAAACTGAAAGAGGGTAGATTTAGATTAGATATAAGGAAGAAATTCTTCCCTGTGAGGGTGGTGAGACACGGTCAGAGGTTGCCCAGAGCAGCTGTGGCTGCCCCCTCCCTGGAAGGGTTCAAGGCCAGGTTGGATGGGGCTGGGAGCACCCTGGGCTGGGGGAAGGTGTCCTTGCCCGTGGCAGGGGGATGGAACTAGATGGTCTTTAAGGTCCCTCCCAACCCAAACCACTTTATGAATCTATGATGAATTCCCCAACAAAATAAGCTGCTCTGAATTCTGGGCACTCTGTACACCATTCCCTGTTCCCTGAGAAGCTCCTGTTTAAGACTGACAGTGGAGAGAAACAGGTAGTTTATAGCTCCCAGAGGCTCAGGTTTATGGTGCTCTCAGTCAGCCAGGAAAGTAATCAAGAAGGAATAGCTCCATGAGAACCCCGTCCATAGTTCAGATAAAGTTTGATATCACCCTAGTTGGGTGGGTAATACTGAAAAATACTTAACCAGATCTACTGCTGAGATCCAGAGCACTGGCCCTATGAGACTCCAATACAATTACATTCTGAATGACACAGTTGCCATTCACCACAGGCTGCAGGGGAGACTCCAGCACCTGGTACACCTCCGCACTCTCCATGTTCACTGATCTTGGTGTCTGCACAGGTGTTTCTCTCTCAGTTTTTTCCCTCCTCTCTTCCACAACTGCTAGGAAGCGTTTTTTACACTTTCCTCAGTATTTTCTCACAGAGGCACCACCATCCTGGACGGCGGGCTCAGCTGTGTCCTGCTGTGGGTCTGCTGGAACCGGGCACACCCCAGCCCCACCCCCCACCCCCCAGCAGACCCCTGCAGCCCCACTGCCAGTGCCTGGGCACAGGCACCCAGCACAGCCTCTCGCACATCGACAGCCAAAAACCCGGGGGGAAAAAAAAGGTGGTGAATTTCACGTTCATCGTTCGATCTGAAGAACTCCCACAGCCAGGGAAGCAACTGCTGAAAGCAGGGATTTGGATTGGGAAATAGTAAATAAAGCAAAAATTATCACATAATAAAAAATAACTGTAAGGTTACTATAAAAGCTGTGAATAAAGATTGACTTTAAACGAGGCCTGACGCGTGCATTCAGGCAGCCCGATCTTGAGATCCACCCTACCCAGCTGCGGCCTCTTGAGCATGTGCCTGCAGCAGAGCAGGACAGACGAGCTCGCCTGCGAACACCCCTTTGTTTCACAAGCACCCCGCCTTGCCTGCAGAGGTAGGGAAACAGACCGAGGAGCCGGGGCTGGGGCCCGGCAGCCGCCGCCTCCCGCCGCCCCTCAGCCCGGCGCGCCTGCCCCGGGGGGCGGTGGCGACGGAGGCGTTGGCGCATGCGCGGCGCCGGCCCTCGCCCCGCCCCGCCCCGCCCCTCCGCTCTAGCCGTGGGGGGAGGGGGGCGGGCCGGTCGCGCGGCGCGGTGCAGCGCAGCGCGATGGCGGCGGGGCTGAGGTTTGACGGGCGGGTGGTGCTGGTGACCGGCGCCGGAGGAGGTGAGCGGCGGTGTCCCGTCCCGTCCCGTCCCGTCCCGTCCCGTCCCGTCCCGTCCCGTGGGTTCCCCCCTCCCCTCCACGGAGGAGGCGAGTCGTGGTGGGGCTTCCCGCGGGAGGCCGGGTGAGGTGGGCACCCTGCAGCCGCCGCTGCCAGCGGCTCTGACAGGTGCCCCCGTGCCCTCCGGTGGCAGCCGGGGACGTCTGTGAGGGCTTCGCTCGTTAAAAACGTTTTGTTTTGTTTTGTTTTTTCCCTCAGAAGAGAGAGGCGCGGCGCCCGCGGGGGGGGGGCGGGCCCCGCCAGGTGCCGGCCCTCGCCCGTCAGGGCCGCCGCCACAGTGCCAGGGCGGCGCAGGGGTTGTCGCCGGCTCTCCCAGCGCTTTGTAGCCGCTGCCGTTCGATCCGGGCGGAAAATTAGCGTGGTGGTAGTGACTCCGAACGCAGGCTTGTCTGTCCTTTAAACACAGGGGGGGGGGCATAGCACCGTTTTGCACCAGTCAATAATGGGTGCCCTGCCCCGTGTCGGGGTTTGGTATCCAAGTTCCTTTCAGTTTTGCCACGGACCTAGTGACTGATGTTTGCAACCTGTGTGGTCTGGCAGGGGCTTTGGCCAGCGCCGGAGCAGAAAGCAGCCTCTGGCCTCCTGGGAGGCAGCCTGAGGGCGCTGAGAGGTGAAAGGAAGGGTGGGGAGAGATTTTCTGCATCAGGGCTGGTCTGTGCTGTTGGTGGGCTGCGGGCCTGGCCTCTTCAGGGGAGGTGGCTCTGCGGTGGAATGCTTGATTTTGCCAGGAAATGTTTTTGTATTTGTTGTAGTGGGGGTTTGTTTTTTGTTTGTTTTGTTTTGATTTGTTTTTAATTCCTGTGGATACATGCTTTGACCTTGGCCTACTCTGGTATGTCCAGCAAAGACAGGAGCTGTGAGGGTGGACAAGCGAGAGGCAAAGTTTGTAGTTGTGGTAGGCTGCTAAAGGAGCTTGTTCTGCCATCCCCTGAGAAAGTTGTGCCTTCCCACAGTGAAGCTTTGCTCTTTTTTTTTGTGGAGTTGCACATAGCTACAGGAGACATTTTGGGGGCCTAGATTATGTGATGTCTTGCGGAGAAAGAGCAAGAGTCACAAATTTTATGGAAAGCACTGAACACTCAGGTTACCTGAAGGTGACAAAACCTGAGACTGACTGAGGCCAGATCTCTGTATGGTGCTTTTCAGCCTTTATCAGACCTGTATTTATGCGCTTCTCTGTATGTAACAAGTCTCACTGAAGAACAGGTTAAGGCCATAAGTAATAGGGAAACAAAGATGCTTTGGTAATAACAAAGCTTCTAAAAAGCACTATATGGAGCAAAAATTGCTTTTCATAAGTGTGGGTACAGTGACCCTTGTACTTCTAGTGCTAGGCTGCTTGAAAATGGTTTGTTAACAGAGAAAATTGTCATTCAGTGTTTTATTTCACTATAGTTTTTTGATGAGCAGTTGATTAAACTTAAGGGAAGATAAAGGGAAGCCCTGTTAACTTCAGATTAGTTCTTATTTTGCTTCTATTTAGTTTACAGCACTGTAGTTAGGTTGTACTGCTAGTAGTATTGTTTGTCAACACTGATTTTTCAGTTGGATGCTGGTGAGCAGATCAGAGCCGGGAATTTACCTAAAACATCTGGATCACTAATTTGCTGTAAGGAAAGACCTGTTTTCACATACATGAGCATCTAAAAATACAGTAGTTTCTTTTAACTTTGGGCAAATCCATTGTGAAGTGTTGCTCCTGCTTGTCACGCAGCATTGCCATAGTTTATGCAATTCAAGCTTATTTATTTATTTATTTTTAAGATTAGTTTTGGTTCTTAAGCATTCAGTCCTTCCTTGCCAATTGAGAATAGCGGCACATATAGCATGGTCTGGGTTTTGTGCACTTATCAGTTGTGTGGCTTTTCAAAACAAGAGTTTTCTTGGACTCCCAAGATTACATCAGACAGTGGACATATATGCACCTCACATGTGATAGTCTCCACTGCAGAGGCTCATAGGAGTCTTAAGGAAAATTGCAGTTTGGTGATGTGAGATTAGTGTGTTTAAAAACAGTCTAATCAGTTCTAATTTATGTTTTCCCCTGTTTTTTCTTTTGAGAACTAGCTTTGAATGTTTTAGTGAGGGGTGAAGAGATACTGGTGCACTCGGAGAAATGTTTTTCTGCCTGATCGTCTTTTGATCATTCAAATCTCAGTTTCTTTTGGAATGGAAAAAAAAGGTTCATCATCATTGATTTCAACTCTTGTCTGCTACAGTGGATAATATCTCTGTAAATCATTTGACATAACAAATAATTTATAACACAACTAGAATCTAAGCCAGAGTAAAGGTGCAAGAGTCTTGCTTTTGTATGTGGGGCAAAAATGACAGTCTCCTGTTATGATAGGTAAAGTATGAATGCGTCTGGTTAACTGTGGTATTAAGCGACTCCTTTGTATCCAAATAATTGGAGGCGTTCTGTCAGTACATCTTCAGTGACAGTTAAATTTTCTTCAGTTTCTTTTTCAAATCTTAAAGACTAGCTTTAACCAGGGAAATATCTTATTCACTTAAAGTGTAATTAATTAACTTGAAATATCCCCTCCTTTAAGGTTACATCAAGACATTATGCTTTACAAATGTTTTTTTTCTATCACAAGCACAAACTCAGCAGCAGACAGCTTTCCCTGATGGGTCTCGTGAGTGCAATAACAAAGAGTAAGAATGGGGATTTTTTTTTTTTTTCCTCTTGACAGGAGGTTTTTGTCTACAATTTATCTGTTTGTTTACTTCTGTGTTTTGAACTTAAATGAAACTTTTAACTCCTGGGGGAAAAAGTGTTTTACTTTGAATCTTCAAGGTGTTTATGTTGGTGCATTTTTCTTCATGCAATTAATTTTTGTGTGGCTTTTTCTCTGAATTGTGATCCAGGAGACAAATTGACCTTTTTTTTTTTTTTAATTTTTTAAACTAGGTTTGGGCAGAGCATATGCTCTGGCTTTTGCTGAAAGAGGAGCTTCAGTAGTTGGTAAGTTTTATGTTAACTTATCTAGACAATAACCTTTGGCATTTCACATTGCTTGCATTCAACAGTCCATGCCCTTTTAGACAGTAACCTTTGTTACTTAATGGTTTTCTGTCTTATCTTTCGCTATTTATATTTTGCTTCTGAGCTTTTTCTTATGAAGCAAGTTGCCCAAGGGCTTATCTTTGCTGGAAAGCCAATTTGAATCAGATCATTTCCCAGATTTTACTTCCATCTGTGCACACCAATCTTTACTATGAGTTGTGGCCAGAGAGGGTGTTGTCTTAATGTGAATACTGTTCAGAAACTTCTCATATGACCATTTGAAAATGTGAATATGTTATGTTCCAGTACCTTCTCCCAGAATATGCTGAGCAGTGTGACCCCAGTGGAAATCTCCCTTTTCTTATCATCCAGAGGGCTACCTGTTATCACCTTTTTTGTCATGCTTTGTCTGTTTCATGCTTCTCATCAGAAAAAGTTGCAAACAGGACGAAGGGAATGATTTGGTTTTGTCTTGCAACCTGTATTATGTAGAGACCCTACTATTCCTTCCTTTTCAGTCTACCTGAGGGCTCTTCTGTATTGCTGTTTTAGTTAGAATCTTGCTTTTGAAGCATCTCTTTTGATTTGTATCTATTTGTATTTTTGTTTGCACTGTGGGATGGTATTGACGTGCATGAGCAGAGTTCCTCTGAAAACCAAACTGAAAGATGCTATTTATCAGTACACCTGAATTGTTCCAAATGTGTGCTTGGTTTGTGGCAGCAGACTGCAGCAAGAAATGAGCTGGTTTATTTTTTAAAAAAACATGTACTGTAGAAGTCAGGTCTTTTGCACCAACTTTTTCATTCTACCGATTTGCTTCTGCTGCTCTGCACTACTTGCTAATAATGCACCTATAGCCTTAGAGGAATTCTCAATGGTTCAGTCTATAACCATGCTCTGTCACAACTGCTACAGTCTTGCTCTTTTCTACTGGATGTTTTCAACTGGAAATTATATGTTGTAAAGCTTCATCTTAAAATAATGTTTTTTATCCATTATTTTCTTTCGTAAATTACTCTATCACACTTGTGGAGCTACTTTAAGGTTTTCAAAACCTAGAACAGCTCTGTTTGTTCTTGCGCATTCATCTTTGCTTTAGCTCTGTTAGTGCCTGCAGTCAGCTGGCGGTGCTTTGCTGCCTCTGGAAATTTTCCCAAATATTTAATAAAGCATTTGTCAGCAAATTACTATTGAAGTGAAGGATAAACATATATAAGCATGTCTTCAGTAGGGAGCTGTAATGTCTTAACAAGATTATTTTGTATTAATATTTACCACAAAATTGTCCACTCTTCTTTCCCAGGACAGATTAGAAATCCTAGTGCTGTTTCTGACTTGCTTTTCTTTCATGTTGTGTTAAAGACCCTTGCTGTTGCAGACTGGGCAGTCTGTCCATGTTCCCTACTCTAACGTTTCACTGCAGTTGGAAATTTTCCCTAATCCCTCACCTGTATTGAGCTAGCTGCATGTTCAAACTGTTAGATACTGATTTATTTAGCTTGGAGATCTTGTCTGCTTTCTTTTTTGCATTAGTAGGCTAATGTACTTGAGCATATCATAATGTTATGTCTTAATTCTTCCTGCTTCAGACTAGGTGGTTCATGATTTTTGTTTTACTTTGTTGTCTTCCCTCCTCTCCCCTCTCCCTCCTCCCCTGTTCTTTACATGGCTCGCTTCTTCGGGGCTTTGGCATTTACTCCTGTGGATCTTCTGCAGTGTTTCTACACTTCTCTTGAAGTGCTGCATACAGTTAATACAGGATTCCAGATGAAACTTTATTGGTCTGAGTAATAGAGAACAATTTTGTCATGTGTCCTGCAAACTATGTTCCTCTTTACATGCTAGTTTGTTTCTTTTTTTTTTTTTTTTTTAGGAAAAACAGAAAGGGAGTATCACAAAATGGGTTTAGTTCCTTTTGTGATGATACAGCAGACTTGTAGTTGCTGCTTATCATCAAGACCAGCAAGAATATCTTGCATATTTTCAGGATTTCAGTATCGCTGGCTTCTTGAGGACTTTAAAAAGTTAGAAGGCACAAAGCTGGAGTTCACCATAGTGTGAGAAACAAGCCCACGTTTATATAAAAAAGGTTTTATAGGGGACAAAGTAAGTGGAGCAAAGAATACAGTGCTGGGCGCGATGTCACGCCCTCTGGAGCCAAAGGGGCTCCCTTTTATTGTATAAAAGGTTACATATTCATCTACTCTAATACATATGCATCACTACTCCAAGGATAGGGAGGGAACATTACAATTAGTTCCGAGAAATCATTAACATATCCCCCCACCCCAAATTCCTCCCATCTCGCTTGCGCAGTGCTCCCTGGTGGTCGTGGGCAGGGGTCTGCAGATGAAGGCTCGTAGTCTTCTTCACGGTGTTCGCTAGCTGACCCTTCCTTCTGCACAGACTCAGTCCTGTGGTCAGGTACACCTTGTCCTTCAAGTCTGGGCCAATTTGCAGCTCCTTTGTCTTTATGGCTCAGTGGTTTCAGTTCCTCTCTTATCTCAAGGACAAGAGGTACCAGAGGTGGCCCATCCTGCCTTCCTTCCATTCGATCACAACGGGAGTTACCTTCCTTTGATATGGACCATCGATGGCCCCTCTTGTTCTTTCTCATTCCATTGCAAAGGAGTTACCATCTGGTGAGCATCCCAAGAAGAGGGGGGGGGCTGTTGGGTTGGTGTTTCCTCAGATCAATTCCCCCCTTTTCTTTTCCCAGTAGTAAATTCTTTTACTTCTCTTAAAATGTAGATCATGGTACTAATAATAGCTTTAGCCTAACTCAATAAAAGTAATTGTTTATTTACTTTTAGCGAAAGCAAAATTCTTCTGTTATTTACCACAATAGCAAAAGACTGTTTAGCAAAATACTGATATGTCATGTAAATCCACAGTCAATTCTGGTTTTCTTACAGTTTCATTTTGTACCCATTTAAACATATTTCTTACCATTTAAAAAAAAATTATTTGTCCAAATACAATGTGTGTATGGATTTTTTGTTTTTTTTTTTTTTTTTGTTCCTCTGATAAATTCCATTAATCTGTGGGATATGCAAATACATCAGTGCCTTGAACTCTGGTGATGTTACAGTGAAGCTAACATTAATAATGCATGCTCCAGTACAAATTGTAGCCTGGAAACAAAGCAGTGCTCTATCAGGTGGCCCTCTTATCCCACAGGAGCAGGATCTGAAGCTCCAGAGCAGGCTTTTCTCCCTTTGTTCAAATCGCTTGATCTGTTCTGTAGTGGAGTTTACTAGTAATGTTTTAGCTATTCTATTAAACAGGAACAAAGTCTTCTTGGTCTTGTTTATGGTTCATGCAGTAGTTATAGCAGTTTGACAACAGACCAGAATTAATCACCTATGATTTGTATGTAATCTTGATCTTAATCTCTGAACTGCAATAACACAATTAGAGAGTTAGCCTGGGCAGGACAAGCAAGTTGAATGCATTGTGGAGAGAAAAAAGCTCTCTTTTCTGTGTTACTTTAAAAAAATGATACTGTATGTTAAAAAAAAAAAAGAATAATGTGATCTACTGTTCTGTAATCATTTGAGATTTTCAGTAGGATCCAGATGCAGCAGGTTTTATTAATTCTCTCTATAACTTCCAGCATGTGAAGTCTTAAGTGTTACCAATGAAAAATTACTTTCTTTGTGATAAACAGTGAATGACCTTGGAGTTGATTTCAAGGGAATTGGCAAGAGCTCTTCAGCTGCTGACAAAGTTGTGAATGAAATCAGAGCAAAAGGAGGGAAAGCAGTACCCAGTTATGGTATGTTACTTTTCCAGACTAGTGTAATGCTTTATCTGTAGGAATAGTGGACCTGTTGAATGAAGAGTTGACACTGCTTAATAAAGGACTACTGCCAGCTTTTTGATATCATATAAATTAAATAGGTGTAATGTCATGTGAATTAGACAGAAGCACTCAAAGCAAGTGCATAAATAAATCACTTTTTAAATTAATGCTCATCTAGTAATGCCTTTTTATTTCATGCTTTCTTAACACTGAAATGTTAAGAAACTGTCCGTCTACAACTGTCAGAGGCAAAATGGAAATGTATGATTCTTACTTGTTTTTAATGCAGTGGCAAGCATTGTACCATTTAGACTTACTGTGTGAGATTTGCTTTAGGCCATGAGCAAATACTGGCTGAATTTGTATTTATTTTATATTGGGGTTGTACACAATATATTTTTCTTAGCTCCATGGAATTAGTTGATAATATCCTGTAAGTGCAGTGTATCCAGTTAGTTTTACTTGAAAATTCATACTTTTTTCTTACAGATTCGGTGGAAGATGGTGAAAAGCTTGTGAAGACAGCACTTGAGGCTTTTGGGAGGATAGGTACTGTTGCTTAATTCTTGTTGTAACTTGTTTGCAAGTTCAGAGCCATTATAAACAGTTCAGTGGACAAGTGTATGAAGTACAGTGTGACAACAGTAGAACCCTCCAACCCTTGATGTCCTTACTCAGTGAAATCAGGGGCTAAATCAGGGGCTTTCCACTTTAAATCAGAACGGGCAACTTTCCTGTTTTTATGGAACTTTGTAGCAGTTTAAAGCTCAGTATGTGATTCTTGTTTTCCTGCCCTTCAGAATTTTGGTATTTCAGTAATGGTTAACAATTTCTGTCTCAGAGTGCATTAAGTATTATAACAAACTGCATAAAATTAGGATAAATAATATGGCTGAAGAGTCATAGATGCCCTGTCACGTTTTGGACACTTTTTTGCCTATGTGAAGATCAAAATGCTTTAAGACAAATTAAAAACAAAAGTTTGAGATATTTTATCTAACAAGTAATGTTTCTATTTACTGTAGGATTGCCACTCTTTGATTGTGAAGTTTATGTGATTTTAACTCAGGGTTAAATGGCTAAAAGTACATATGATCAAAGCCAACAGGAACCAAATTACCGGCTCTGTGGTTCTTCCAGTTATCATTTAGGCTTACTGCAACAAAGGTGGTAGCACAAACTGCATAATCAGGAGCTCTCTGGAATTCAAAGCAAGCTGCAAAACTGTTCAGAATGGCTGCATCCTGCGGGTATTCTGTTCCTAGGTAGTCCATGCTTGTAAGATATACCCCCCTGTCAGGCTTTGTTCTGTTGGCAGGCCAAGACTTGTCTGTTCTGAAGTATTTTGTCTTAATTATTGTTCACGGGTAGAGTTTCACTATTTGGAACAAGGAGCTGTAGAATAGTAATATGATGTATGTATGCAGTGCTTTTGTTTATAAATGTTTTCAGAAGTGGGAGAAAACGAGAAACAATATTTTATCAGTGTATTCACTTAGTTTCTTTTTTTTTTTTTTTTTTTTCCCCAGATATTGTTGTAAACAATGCTGGGTGAGTAAACCTGAAGATTTTTTCCTTTTTGATTGTGGGCTGTCACTTGTGTAAACACCTGCTCATCTTTTTTTGTTTTGTTTTGTTCTCCTAATAATGCGTTTTAGGATCCTAAGAGACCGTTCATTTGCTCGGATAAGTGATGAAGATTGGGGTGAGTTGATAAACTTTAAAATGTACTTTCTACGTGAAAGGTAAAAGGTACATCTCTCCCATTGGTACAAGGGAGGAGAGAAGGCAGGAAAGGCTGTTTATGCCAGATGAGAGAATTATCTATTGCCATGAAAGGTTAGTGATAAATTGTGTTCAGTTTGCAAACCAGATCTGTGTTGCAATGCATGGTAGATGTATGTAGTTTCAAAGGGGAAGAAAAGCTCTAACTGCCACTCCTAATTGCTGAGTGGAATACAAAAGAGCCAAGTGAAACACACACAACAGTTTTCGTGAGCACAACACATTCCTAGTGCCAGCACTGTCTGGCTGAATACTAAACAGGCTTAAAAGACCCAGAAGTAAAACAGGGGAAGGAAAGCTGATGTGCCAAGGGACAGAGGAACAGGGGGAACATTCAGTGAGATGTAGGTGGTCATGAGCAACTTGAGGAGACTTTTGCAAAGGTGGTCTAGCCTCTGTAGTCCTTGTTTAACTCTGCTTAAGTGCAGGACTTTTTGATGCCTGTGAATGCTATACAGGAGAGAGAGAAAAGATGATCTGTGTATGTTCAGGCAAGCACTTCAGAATGATCTATCAAACAAAAAATGGAAAAAAAAAAAAAAGCCCACCACTTTTTTAGTAATGGTTTGAGAGTGTGAAGAGTGTAGTATTTGTCACAAAGAAACAAATGGTGTATTTCAACTGGGGAGACAAAACCCTGGAATTATTAAACCAACATTAATTTGTTCCTAGATATAATTCATAGAATTCATTTGAGGGGATCATTCTTGGTCACCCGGGCTGCATGGAATCATATGAAGAATCAGAAATTTGGCAGGTAAAAATTTGTCTTTTTTTTCTTTTTCAGTATGGTATAACAGACTGATGCATGCACTGACAGTGAAGGAGGTTCTTTTCTTTCACTGTTACTGGGATGAAACTAAATCAGTGCAAATATGTAAGCCCTTATTTTTTCAGTTCTAGCCCCCATTTCTGCCTCCCCATCCAAATGTTTAAAGGTTTTTCCATGTAGATGCAAATATCCCAGACGTGAGCTGTAGGGTTATACAATGCTGTTTCTTTTCACGAGGACTGGTTAGAAATGTTTGTTACTTTTATGTTACTTCAAGTCTGAGGGATTCTTGTCCTGTTCCTCCCTAGTCAAATGATAGATACATGCAGTTCTGTTTGTGGGTCTTGTTTTTTTTCTTTGAGGTTGTTTTTTTTTGTTTTTTTTTTTTTTTCCCTTTTGGTCAAATGTACTTGTTTTAGAAGTTGTGGGAGTGTTCATAGTCTATTTTAGTGTGTGTTACTGTTAACTGAAAGAGTGCAGTGAATTCAGACCTTTTAAGTTCTGTTCACTTCTGTTGTTTTTCCTCATTGAAACACTGACATAATTATATTAATCTTAACAACCATACGAATGTGTTGAAATCTGTATTACCTTCTTTGTCATTCTGTGGCCAAACTGACATTCATTCTTATCCAGGGAACTGAACTGTAAGGGTAAGGGAATAGATTATCAAGCAGAAAACACGGCTAAAGCCTAGGAGTTGCATCCACTTAGGAAAATGCTTCCCTTGGCTCCTTTTATGTATCTGCTCAGATAACAATGGTAGTAAGTGCTTCTGCAATTTCTGTATAGATGTGTGCCATCTGCAAAAGTCTGCTTTGTATATGTTTTGTAGCTTTTTTCATCTTGAACATATTGAGCCAGTACTTGTAACACATCTCTTTATTTAGATTAAAAGCATTGGATTATTGTCAGTGAGACAAATAATAATAAAAATGAAATAGATTTTGATCCCAGCTATGCAGTGTGTTTACAGTAGATTGGAACAGACTGTGATAAGGCTTCCTTTAAAGTGAAGATGTAGACCCTTTCTTTTGAATTTCAATTTATGAGAAGACATGCAGCAGAGTGTTTTCTTACCTCAAACCAGTTATGAACTGCAGTGGTTTTAGAGCTTTCTTGTGAGCAGTGCAGTCATGTCCACATTGGTAATGCTAGAGGACAGCAAAGGGCAAGACTTTGCTATCTTCTTCCTTCATGTGTTTTATGTACATTAGGATTCTTTGAATGTGAACTCTGTAAAAATACGGCTTCACATATTATCAGGTGGATATTAAGGTGTGGTAATTTTCAATAAAATATTTTTCTTCTGACCACTATATTCTTCTCTATACAGTATCCTGTTGTCACAGACTGTCTTGGTTTTGCAGTATAACTCAGAAAGGTTCATGACTTTGTTAGTTTTCTGCTACTATGACAACGCTTCAGGATTTGTCAGATGGTTGCTCTCAATCAAACATAAAAATGGCATTTATTTCTTAGCAAAAACAACAAATAACCTTTTATTATTTGCACACTTTTGTTTTGTGGAGAATACAATGCTGGAAAATATTGTTATGTAGAATTAAACAACTCAAAGAAATCATTGAATTTTTTTTTCTTTTTTTACTCCTCTCCCCTAAGAATAATTATGACTTCCTCAGCTGCTGGAATATATGGGAATTTTGGTCAGGCAAACTACAGTGCTGCAAAACTTGGCCTTCTGGGTCTTTCAAACACAATTGCAATTGAAGGCCGGAAGTACAACATCCACTGCAACACAATTGCTCCTACTGCTGGATCCAGACTGACCCAGACTGTCATGCCACAAGGTGAATCGTTTAAGGTCGATATGTACTGATATTTTTTCAGTGAATTGAAGCACAGCTAAGCTTCTTATCTCTAAGAAAATGCAAATCCTTTACATTTCCTGCACTGTTAATTCATTATTCCTACTGTCTCTTTGCCTCTGAACTGTCAACTTACTTTATCTGTTGTAAGGAAATCTTACTTTCTGCCACAAGATAAGAAGCAATTTTTGTAATTCACAAAAGCAATTTTATGTGGCAAGGAGCTTTAATTGTAGTCTCCCAAGATCCTCCTCCAGCAGTTGAAAGGCTTGTTTGTTTCATCAGATGTGGAATCAGCTATGTGCACAAGGTGTCTGCACTTGTTATATTATTGTCTAATTGCAAAATACTGTTTTTTGCACAACATGTCATGTGTGTACTTCTTCGTTCCATGATCAGCAGGAGATGATGAACTGTGTTGCCTAATATATTACGTTTATCTTTATTGCACAGTTACTAGTCTTTGAATGCTTGAACAGGTTTTAACAGGGCACTGAAGTCAGTATAAAGGACATTGTAGGAGGCAACTGTGTATGAAGTATAAATGTAGGATAAAGTGACTAACTAATTTGGCAAATGGCCAAAAGAAACAAAAAGAATTTGGAAGAAAGTCTGTAAAAGGCAATTGCTCTAAGAAGATCTTTTAGAATCAGCCTGTTTCGTTTCCCTCCCTTCTTTTCCACAGTGATAGGCAAATTTCAAAACCAGGAGAATCATTAAACTTTTTGGACTTGTATACAAGATACTGAAGACTAATATTTTATACAGTCATGCATGGATTGAACGCATGATTTTGACTAATTAAGTTCTGTGTATGTATCCTGCTGTAGGTCTAAATAATCCAAGTAATCAGGAAATCTAGCCTGTCTATATGTTGTAGGCTCCAGGGATTTTTTGCACTTACAAAAGAGGCAGATGCATTAAGCTTGCAGCCATGAGTTTCTGAAACATAAAGTGGAGTTCAGTAGCTGGAATTTCCTGAAGAAACTTACATAGAATAATAAAACCACCTCTTAATTTTTTTTGTAGTTATTTTAAGAAGAGTGAGATCCTTTCTTCTCCCTATAAGATACTTACAGTTCTGATCACTTATTTCTTACCTTGCTCCCTCCCTCTCTGTCCAGTTTTTCAAATACTGTTAAAAGGTTTGGACATCAGATCTTTAAAAACATTTTCATATGTCTTACCAAACTATCCTTGTTATCTTAGTACTTTCCTGTTCATCTTTAGATGTCTGCAAGCACCTACGCTTTAGCATTGCCACAGTTACATATGTTCAACTCGGTTCACTTACTGTTGTTCTTGCTAGAACTCTGAATGCAGTTTGCATATTTTTTGTGGGTTTTTAAACTTGTGCCACCTATTTCTTAATTAATTTAATAGTGGGTTAATATCATTAGTCATAATAGTATCAAAAATTAGCACTAGACTAAATAGAGTGTGGCATAAAGTGGAATACTTTAGAAAAGCCTAAGACTTTTGTTACACACTTACAGCAACAAACCATATTAAATTCAGTTCAATTTCCTTTTACGTTTGTGAAACTTACAAAAATTAATTTCTGTTACTTCAGTTTGGCTATGAAAGAAGTATCTGTAACGCTAAACTTTCCCAGCTCTTCACCTGTGAGGGTGTAATTGAGGATGCTTGCTGACCTTTAACTGATGAACAGCTGTGTATCTGTTGCTGTTGATAGAATAGCATTCTAAAAGCTGGAAAAGGAAATTGAACAAAGTTGTTGTTTTTTCAGGCAGTGGATAGAATATGTGGTAAGAGCTGCTTGGACAACCACACTCTTGCTCCATGACAATTATCCCCATTTTCAGATAGTTTTCTCTTGTGCCAGATGGCAATGAAAATCCCAGAACACAGTTGAAATGAATTTAGCAGGGTTGATAATTCTCTGTCACATTGGCAAATATCAACATTTCCAAGTGGGATGTTTCTCAAATATTCAGCAGCTACAATACTTTTCCTATTGTCTTCTCTTTATAACTGACTATCATATTAAAAGGGAAATTGCTTAGGTACGCCTCCATCAGGATTATGTCTAGCTGGTTTGTTCTTGTTCCAGGCTGCTTGTCAGATGGAAATGTAGAAAGGTACCTGGCTTTGCAGTCTGCACGTTACAATGTTCCCCGCATATAGACAGTCTTTCATCTGCCTGCCTGAGAACCAGTGTCATGGGGTTTGGAGGCATGTGCGCATCTCATGAGTTGTTTGTATTTAATGAATCTTCAAATGTTTAATTTCATTTGTCCTTTCTTTTCATGGCAGAACACTGTTGGTTAAATTCTCCCTGACTCTGCTGTTCATCAGAATGTGTTAGAGTAAGAATAATTTGGTGAAATCATACAGTATTTCTATTTTATGATTCCACCCCTCCAATTTGCTCTAGATCTGGTCGATGCTTTCAAACCAGAGTATGTTGCTCCCTTAGTTGTTTGGCTTTGCCATGAGAGCTGTGTGGAGAATGGCAGTCTGTTTGAGGTAATTTTTTTTATATTCCCTTTCTTCCCCCTCTTTCCCTCCCTTTGCCCTTTCCCCCCAGATCAGTCATTTGCTTTAGCCTGTCAGTTTTAACCTTTTTGATGAAACTGAATTATCATGTGAGATACTACATATTCAGCATAGACAGAAGAAATGTTGACCGTCATGTGCTGTATATGACAAGTACATGAGGCAGTAACAACCTTGATAATTTTGGTGTATGATGAAAATACTACTGACTTGATTGTTAAAATTCTTATTTTATGCTTCTAAGTTTGAAAAGGTTCCAAAGCAACTACTTCTAAAGAAGTTTTTGTTTTCTAAATTATTCTAACACAGAAAGCAACTTGCAAGAAGGATGAATTACTCTAGTTAAGGAATACATTACAGGTATTGTCATCAAACTACTAGCTCATAAATTGGATGGAAGCTGTTATCTTGTTCTTGGAGTTTTACGTCACTCACATTTCAGTGTTTAACTAAACTGTTAAATGCAAACAGCAGTAGTTGAGAAATTTTTATTATGTTGTGTTTCTTCTGAAGTATAGTTTTGTTTCCCTACATTACGGAAACTTTGCTTTGTAACATGCAGTAAGCTGATTATTTTCTTTTTTTCTTGTCAGGTGGGAGCTGGATGGATTGGAAAATGTAAGTACTTGGTGTTGTGGGATTTATTTTGTTTTTTTGAATTGATAACAAAAGTGTACAAATCATCTTTGCAGTTAACCTCTGGTTAAGACAATTTTATTTAGGGAGAGATTAGCTCTTAGGGTTCTGAGAGACTGCTTTTTTAAAATAAAATTCACAAATTTCACTGTACATGGGAGAAACTGGTAACTTAGGTATGTGCTTTCTAATGCTTTTGAACTGAGGGATAGTAACTGAAAATCTGCCAAAGTAACGTTAACGCTTGGTTCCCAAGGGTATAATTGAAGTCAAGAAGACTCACCATTTTTGGTGCTAATATGTGTTGCTGCCTTTTCTTGATAACTTTGATTTTTTTATGGTATAAAAATAGCACATGCTGGTAAACAGGCTCCTATTAATAGCTTTCTACCTGTATTTATACTCCTATAAAAATACTAGTGATATGCATTAACATGTTGAGGCAGTTAGCCTTCTTAATAACCAGTAGCTATGCTATGTAAATATTTTCCTTGAGGGACTCCAATAACTAGCTTAAATATGAACATAAAGAAAACTTGCAGGCAATACTGAGAGCTTACAAGATGGGGAACTTAATTTAGTGTCTGAAATGTCTTAACTTTTTTCCTAAATATGTTGAACCTAATACCAGCATTATTTTCCTGAACCGTACAAGGACTTTTCTGCCTATATGAATATCACTAGTAGGTTGAAAGTAGGACCATTAATTTAAGAAGTGGTTTCCCCTTATTCCAAAACATTTTTTTGCCCACTTGATAAAGATTTTGTACATTTCCAACTAGCTATAAATGTTCTGGTGGCACTGGAATACCTTTACCTAGCTAGTGTATTGAACAGATGAAACAAATTGGGGCAGCAGTGTAAAACCTCTTGCTACCTTTCACAAGAAGTTGAGTTTTAATACAGCCAAATATATTTGACATCTCTGCTCTGGTCAAAAGAAAATACCGTAATTTTTTTTTATAATAATGGCTACTGTTGAAATCTTTAAAATAAGCCATGTTGTTAGTGAGGTACCATTATGGCCTTATTCATTATCTATTGCTAGATAAGAGCAAAACCAACATGACAGATTAAGGGTTAGTTTCAGTCCAGGAAGTTTTTATCCTTCCAGAACTGATTTTGTATTAGCCTTACCAGTTTCTCTCAACTTACAGTACTGAAATACAAATTCAGGGACCATTTGGAGATACTGGCTACTGGTATTAATATTCTTTCATAGATAACAAGTGGTTTTCACATTTTCCCCAATAGTTTTCCAAGGCTTTCAGAAGAATCCTAAATATTAGTAGCCAAAATCATGTCAGAGAATGTCTGTAGATAGATATTAGCAACAACTTTTCACTTGGCAGAATCCCAAAACTGACTTAAGATTATCAGAGATCAATGAGCCTGTTGTGGCTTTAATGAAATTTAAACCCAGTCCTATTGCTTTTCTAAATGTTAGTTAAAAGCACCGAGACCTTCTAGTCCATCTTGAAGTTACACTGAGTTAAACTGGAGTATTTACAACCTTGCATTGTCTTGAAAGTAATGACCTGGATGAAAGTGATCTAAAGAAACTAAAAGTTCCTTTGTTACCTGTTACTCTGGCTCATGTTTCCTACTAGTGCGCTGGGAGCGATCCTTGGGTGCTATTGTCAGAGGAAAGAATCAGCCAATGACACCTGAAGCAGTGCGAGATAAATGGGAGAAAGTCTGTGACTTTGATAACGCCAGCAAACCCAGAAGTATCCAAGGTAAAGGGGACTTTGATAATGTGGATAATTTGGGCAAGGAAAGCTTAGAAGAGAATGCTTTCTTGTCAGATACTTGCTGAAACTTTACTTCAGAAGTCTACAGAACCAGTGATTCTTTTGTAAGCTTGTAACGTTAATCACTTACTGTTTCAGTACAGTCAGATCTTTTAAAGGAAATCTGTGTTCTTACCTGTAGAACTAAAATAGTTTTATGTTAAGAGTTTCTAGGGAAGCAACATCACTTTTTATGTATTACAGCCAGACTAATGGTAGTGTTTTATTTGATTGCACCTACATAGAGATAGTAGCAGTATAATACTGTGTTTTCGTTTCAGTCTTTCCATACCAAAAAGCTCTGGTCTCTTGGTATAACACAGCAAAGAAGTTCTTCTGTGCTGATGTGTGTTCCTGGGTAACATCATCCTCTTGGCTGGTGACCAAGATGACTGTCTCTTCCAATGCTTTATTTAATTTCTTTGTTCTTCCTATCATCTGTTGTTTGGTTTTGGTTTTTATTCAGCCAAAATTAGTCTGATCTTTCCTGCTGCCATACTTGCTTTTCTTTCATCTTCCAAGCTTTCTCTTTATTGTTTTATGTCTTTCTCTATTTAGATCCATAGTTATCATAGTTCATAAATGAATCTGTCGTGGTTTGAGCCTGTTTGTCAGCCAACCACCACTCAGCCACTCTCTCCCTTCTCTTCTGGCAGTAAGAAGGGACAGAGAGCCAGGTTTGGGGTTCGAGATAGAAGTGGGATGGGGAAAAAATCACCCTTTATGGGCATGAGCAAAAGGCAGACTTGTTAGGGGAAGAAAAAAAAGAACATACATTTATTACAGACACTAACAACACATAACAGAGTAGGACAGTGAGAAGCATTGCCACATCTTGAGAACACCTTCCCCCACAAGTCCGACTGCCCATCACCACATCCCTTCTTAAATACATTATCGCAGAGGCGCAGCTGATTGGCTCAGTTTTGGTGCAGAGGTGGAGCTGACTTGGAGCTGGGGGAGCTTCGAGTAGATTCTGACGGGGCTGCCCCTGTAGCCCCCTCCCCTGCTACCAAAAAACCTCCAACACTCACTCAACCCAGGACAGAATCATACAGACAATTTTCCCAACTGCTTTCCAAGATTTCTCAAGATATTACCTTTATATGGGCTTAGTAACACTGATGATTGTTTTGTTATTATGCGTGTTGCAATTTAGGTCAAAGATTGAGTATTTGTCAAATAAGGAAATGCCAGCATTTAAGTGTTTAGGGGAGAAGGAAAAGAGACATCCTTATGTACAATGCCAGTTGAATGTTAAAGATACATAGATACGTAGTAGATGTTTAATCTGTTGGTCCTAATATCCATTAGGATATTTTGTTAAAACCTTAGCAATATGTTTGTAGATGTCTAAACCAAAACCAGAATAGGAGACTCTTTGTCCTTTCCCTCAGAACTCGTTAGAGGAATATAACCAACTATGCAGTAGTTCCGTATTGCCTTACTGACTATTTTCAGTGATCTTTGGCTTGCACATGTCCCATTTCCGAACATATGTTAGTTTATAAATGTTCTTTGTCATGCTATGGAGTGGTATTTATAACAACATAATTCCAGCTTTATAGCTTCTGATCTGTTCTCCAGCCTGTCAAGTGGACTATGTTATTTTTATGGGTTACTAGCAGAAAAATGTTGTAGATAAGAATATATCTTGGAATTTGCTTCAGCATTACATATGATATTCCACATGTGCCTTTTGATGCTATTGGGTGAAAAATTAGACAAGATTTTGGACTTCTGAAGTAAATGTTCTTGCAATACAATATAGCAGGTTTCCACAGTCAGGAAATTGTAAATACTACATTATCATGAGTCTCCCATGCAGTGTACATACCTTAGTTTCTATTTTGTTAGGAACTGAGCTAAAAATGCAGGATTGTCCTTTCAGTGATATCAAGCCATAGATACTGCCAGGCTGAACGAAAACGTTCGCATTCATTGGTTGTATGTGAGAATCAGTAGAGTGGCTGAAGGAAAATTCTGAAGAAGTTAGCTGAATAGGATTTTTAGTTTGGTAGTAGAAAAAACTTTTAATATAGAAGTCTCCACTTTATTGCTTGAGGTATTCAACTGTTAAATAAAGGAAACTAATTGGAGTTCTTGCATTAAAAATGAAAAGCTACATACAGTACCTAATATCTACAAGTTAAAACTCTCCCAAAAGATTTCATTAAGTAATTTGATGCTGTGAAGAGCAATCATGTACTAACCATTATGTATAATTATAAAAAAATACCAATTAGATAAAGGATTTACTTGTAATATAGTAGAAAGTACCATAATCAGAGATGTTAATCTTGTTTCCTAATTTAGCGATAATGATAAGAGCAGTTTGACTTTAATTTTAGATTATAAAAAAGGAGGATCATCATCTCTTGGTTGGTTGGGGTTTTTTTAAAGGTAGTTTTCTTACATGTGTAACAGTCATACATAACTGAGTACTTGGACTCATGTTATACTATTTACGTAGAATTCTCTTTTTTGCATGCATAGGAGGAAGGAATTCTCTTAAAGACAAATAAATTAAATGTGTGAATGATCATGCATTTAGAGCCCTGTCTAGCAAAGCACTCATTTGATGTTTAACTTGATCATGTTTGTAGTTGTGTATTTTAGCTAAGGTCGTTCTGCTGGAGATGCTGAACTCTTGAAGACAATGGAAGTACTGTCTCATCTTTATGTTTTAGCGATGGTCTTTTAAGAAATGAAAACATTTAAGACCAGTTCAAGTAAAAAGATCTGAATTCTTCTTTCCATTTTTTTTTAACTTTTTTAAGCACTTCAGTTTGTAGGTTTAACTTGTTCTCTTGGCACATAAACTGAATAAAGCTAAAAAACTCTTGGTTGTGTACCAGAATATGCTTTTATAGGCTTTGTGCAATTTATTTAATAGGAAATAATTATCACTTGATTTGGCAGATGATGCTAATTCAGTAACTCATTGAAGTTTCTCAGATACCATGACAGTGTGCTCAGTAAAACAATCTTTCTTGGTACTTAGCCTGCATCTTTCTAGATGAGCAGCTGCTGATTTGTGCAGTATAGTGTCTTGCCCAATCTCTTCCCGTTACCCCAAAAGCTATCCGACACAGTCAGTGTAACTGACTATGCCTGCCTTTTCACTTTCAAGGCCTCAAGTATCTTTGAGTATTCTCTGTAGTTATTACCTAAGCTTTACAAGCTTAGTCCTTAATGTACTTGGAGAAGTTCTGGCAGTTCCTCTGTACTCCTACAGAGTTTCAAGTATAGTCCTGTTAACTAGCTAAAGATACAATTACTTGTGCATTCACTACATGATGTCTTTTTAACAACAGAAAAATCTGAGAACAGACTTTTTTTTTTTTTTTTTAAGAAGCTATGTGAGAATTAAGGCCTTAGGAAGTTGAATATGGAGTGTTGCTGCTGTGTGTTCTCCTACTTTCACTTTGCCAGGAATGAAAGATAACCATCTATTTAATGCAACATGAAAATGTCACTGCTTCTGAGGCAGCTGTGATTCTGCAGTGGCATGTGTTAGGTTTTTTTCCTAATTTTCATGATGTAATTTTCTTACTAATGATTAAACTGAAATAATAGTTTTAGCTTACTTCATAATACTTCAGAACAAGCTAGAAATATTTCAAGAAAAGTAAGGCATAATCAGGGCCTTAAGGTTAGGACACAGAATCAACTTACAGCGTGCATCAGTGAGTCACTGTACAGTCTCCCTGTATGCCCTTAGGCAGCAGCAATTGCAGAGTAATGTGACTTGGCTTAACTAGTATTAGAAAATAATTGCTCAGGCTCTCATTTGCAGCAGGATCTAGTGATCAGATGTAATTCCATGTTTTGAAATACTGAGAGGTCCTGGACTCCTGTGCATAAGCAGAAAGACCAAATTAAATATGATGCACTACATATTCTGAAGCTTCTGTATGTGCAGGAGGTCACAGCTGCACACTGCATTGTATTCCCTCTCAGACAGAGCTAGACCCAGTAGCTCTTGCCTCCACAATAGGCTACTTGCTCTTGTGTCTTACTCTGATTCTTCCTGTTATGCAAAGGGAGACATCAGATTGTGTTGAGATAGGTGAAAGACAACCGTCCATGTCAGGCAGACTGTATTCTGTATATAGCATTCCGTAGTATATATTGCACAGGTTAGTGTGTTTAGTTTTGTTACCTAGGAAAACAATTCATTTTCTGTCACCTATACAAGGCAATCTCTCTTGGTTTTGATTTCTTTGTTGTGAAGATATGTGCCAGTTTCAGCTAATTCTAGTATTTTAGAAGTGTGTAATCTGCTCTTACATTCACGTGCATTTTTAATTCTCTTGGAAGCTGTCAAAGTACAGAAAACAACTTGACTATTCTCACTGGCTGACTTCTGGCTTATCTCTGGTATAGAGCAAATTAATATAAAACACACAGAAAGCATGTATGTATACTTTGTGTATATATAAAGAAAAATCTAGTGTTATAAGAAAACTGTTACAGCTTCCCTTTATTAAAAAAAAAAAAAATACACAAAAAACCCCAAAACACCAAAATAAAAAACAACTAAAAAAACAGGAAAAAAAAAAAAAAGGCTTTTCTGCCTGTATTGGTGATATTCTAGTAACTTGCTTATGCTTTTCAGGCAACTCAAAGGGATGGCATCTTAAAAGTAGCTTTGATACTAACAGATGAAAACCACCTTGACCGATAAAGTGTAACATACACTTTCTGCTGATACCTCTCAAGAAAATTGGGACTAGAACCATAGATATATCTCATGTGGTTGATGTCTGTCACAGATATAAAGAAATAAACCCAGGAGTCCTTGAAAGAACATTCCATCCTTAAAGACAACTTCTTCTGCATAATAAGCTTTGAAAACCAATGAGACTGTTCCTAAATGATTCTGGTATGATCCAGGTCAAATGCTGTTGCTCATTACTAATATAATAGTGGGCTAAAGTTTAAAAGAACAATTTTGGTGAAGCCTTTGACATTGAGGTTGAACAACACAGTATCTCACATTTTAAAAAGTGTAGAAAGGAGGAACGGTGGAACTACTGGCCTGTCAGCCTCACCTGTGTGCTTAGGAAAATCATGGAACAGATTCTTCTAGAAGTTAAGCTAAGGCACATGGAGGAGAGGGAAATGATTTGAGATGGCTGACATGGCTTTACCAAGAAGAAGTCTTGCCTGACCAACCTAGTAGCCTTCTGTGAGGGCATGACTACATCAGTGGACAAGGGAAGTGCTACAGATGCCATCAATAGGGACATCTGTAAGGCCTTTGATGTGGTCTATCATAACGTCCTTCTCTCTAAGTTGGAGAGAAGGGTTTGATAGGTAGACTGTTTGGTGGATGAGGAGTTGGTTGGATTGTTGCACCCAGAAGGTAGTGGTCAATGGCTCAAAGTCCAAGTGGAGGTCAGTGACCAGTGGTGTTCCTCAGAGGTCTGGACTGAAACCAGTACTGTTTAATATCTTCATCAGTGACATGGACAGTGGGATCAAGTGTGTCTTCAGCAAGTTTACAGATGACAGCAAGCTGAGTTGTCATGCCTGAGGGGTGGGATGCCATCCAGAGGGACCTGGACAAGCTCAAGAAGGCTGGGGAGTGAAGGGATTGAGAGCAGCCCTGCGGAGGAGGATGTGGGGGTACTGGTAGATTAAAAGCTGGACGCGAGCCAGCAATGTGCGCTTGCAGCCCAGAAAGCCGACTGTATCCTGGGCTGCATCAAGAGAAACGTGGCCAGAAGATCAATAGATGTTATTTTCCCTCTCTGCTCTGGTGAGACCCTACCCTGAGTACTGCATCCAGCTCTGGAGCGCTCAGCACAAGAAAGACATGGATGTGTTGGAGCAGGGCCAGAGAAGGGCTGCAAAAATGATCAGAGGAATGGAATATCTCTCTTGTGAAGAAAGGCTGAGAAAGTTGCGGTTGTTCAGTCTGGAGAAGAGAACCTCGGGGGAGACCTTATAGTGGCCTTTCAGTACTCAAACGAGTCTTATAAGAAACATGGAGACAAACATTTTACAAGGGCCTGTTGCAATAGGACAAGGAGTGATGGTTTTAAACTAAAAGAGGGTAGAATCGGACTAGATACAGGGAAGAAATTTTCTACAGTGAGGGTGGTGAAGTGCTGTAACAGGTTACCCAGAGAGGTGGTAGATGCCCCATCCCTGGAAACATTCAAGGTCAGGCTAGATGGGGCTCTGAGCAGCCTTGTCTAGTTAAAGATGTTCCTGCTTATTGTAGGGGGGTTTGGACTAGATGACCTTTAAAGATTCATTCCAATCCAAACCATTCTGTGATCATAGTGTTCAGCCAGACACTAGCCAGCTGTCGAGGTTTAGGCCTGATTGGCAGTCAACCACAATGCAGCAGCTCTCTCTCCCTTCCCCTCTGGCAATGAGAAGGGACAGAGAGCCAGGCTTGGGGTTCAAGATAGGACTGGGATGGGGAAAAATCCTCCCTTTTATGATCACGAGCAAAAGGCAGACTCGTTAGGGGAAGAAAAAAACCCCATGCATTTATTACAGACACTAACAACACATAACAGAGTAGGACAGTGAGAAGCATTGCCACATCTTGAGAACACCTTCCCCCCACCCCTCCCTTCTTCCCGGGCTCAGCTCTGCTCCCGATATCTCTACCTCCTCCCCCAGTGGCGCAGGGGCAGGGAATGGGGGGTGCAGTCAGTGCTGCCAGTTCTTCATGTTCGGTGAGGGGAGTGTCCGAAACTTGTTCCTCCTGCTCCATCGCGGTCCCCCTCTCACAGGAGACAGTCCTCCACAAACTTTCTCTGACATGAATTCCTCCCACGGGCCGCAGCGTTCCCCACACTGCTCCGTCATGGGTCACTAACTTCCTCCGACTGGATTCCCTCCCACGGCTGCAGCCCTTCCCGAGCTGCTCCGGCGTGGGACTCCCCCGCATGCTGCAATCCTCCCAGTGCTGAATTACAGCAGCGGGGCTACCTTTTCCCACGAGACCCCGGCCTTCTTTGGGCACAGCACCTTGATCAGCTGAGCAGGAGCAACAGGCCACAAATCAGTGTCTGCTCCACCGTATATTTCCATGGGTGGCAGGGGGGGCCGCCCTGCCGTCTCACCACAGGATCCAGGGGGGTCTCTGCTCCGGCACACCTCCCCCCTCCTTTCTTCCTCCGTTCCTCCACGGACCTTGGTGTTCACGCAGCTGCAGCAACTCCCCCTCACAAGTCCCACTGCCCGTTATCACGTCCCTTCTTAAATACGTTATCGCAGAGGCGCAGCTGATTGGCTCAGTTTCCAAACAAGTGGAGCTGACGTGGAGCTGGGGGAGCTTCGAGGAGCTTCTCACAGGGGACCACCCCGATAGCCCCCTCCCCTGCCACCAAAAAACTCCACCACTCACTCAACCCAGGACACCAGCTCACCAATTTGAGAGTCAAATCATATAGTCTGGAAGAAAGACTCCCTGAGATTTTAGTATTCTGCACCATCATTAAATTATAGGTTTTCTTTATAGTGTTTGTCTTAATGATGACGTTGCATGTAAATTACATGTTAGTAATATTCTTTTCAGATTTCACCATTAAGAATGATAGTTATGTTCCTGTTTGGAAATAGGTTGTGGATGTGAAAAGTTGAGGAAACATTCAGTTTTACTTGGAGGTCAAAGCTGTATTTTCCTTTGAAGATTTAAAGCAATGTGAAATCCTTTTATTTGGTTGATGCAAGAGATGTAGAAAGTTCTCCTAGCATCTCAGTATTTTTTTTCATTCATTCATTTCATGATTGATAAAAGAGATTACCTTTTAAAGGGTTCTTGTAAATTACAAATCTCTTGTTTTGCACCTTGTCACATTTCGTAAATGTCATAACCTTATGCCCAGTTACAGCAGTGCTTGTACCCAGAGGTAAAATTTTGTCTTTGGCAGAAGACATATGTGACAACGTGTTTGTTTCATAGATGTTCTTTTTCTTCATGAGATTTAAGCCACAGATAAAACGTGATGATTTTGGCAGTGAGACTGGAAAGCAACAAATAGTTTAGGAAATCAGGATTCTGCAAGAAGGTAGGCGGCTGACTGAGTATATTTAGGTAATTGCTGTGCAATAGAGCAACAGTGCAAGTCAGTATGGGCATAGGGATTTTGAAGTGGAGGGGAGCAGCTTTCAAGGTAAAGGTAGTTAAACAATGATTTTGTAGTCCTCTGATCTAAGCACTTTTCTGTTTTTTCTGTGCATGATTCTCATCAATTTTTGTTTTATTCTTTCCAACACATGAATGTTAATATTGATTTTAGCTATACTGAGCTTCAAGAGCAAGCTGTTCTTGATGGCCTAACTTTACCATAGCTGAGTTCTGTATCTCAGCCATGCATCATCTTGTTTGTAATCTTGGCTTTGTTCAAGCCCCATATTTATTTATATGTATGTTTGTATGTTATTTGGGAAGGAGGGTAACTGCCAGGAAATGACACCTGTTACTTGTATTGCATTTCAAGATATGGAAAGCAGTAATAATTTTCAGATGTTTATTTCTGAGGCAGTTGAAACGTAATAATCATTATCTTCTCCTTAATCTTGTGGTTCAGGGAATGAAGCAACCTATTTACCGACATATTCCTGTTGTCTTGAATGGTGACGTATAGCGCCAGTTGTGTTTTAGACACTTGAATTAGGTGTCATGGTAGACTGCTGGGTGCAGAACTGATGGAATGTAAGTTATATAGAGATCATTACCATAAATGGTTGTGTAGATGCCTGTAAAATGCAGCACTAGGCTCAATTTACAGATGTATATTTGTTGTGTTTAATTGGGAAGCACTAGGCTGTATGCCATTTGCTGGCATTTTTGCTGTGTGTCTAACCGGAATGTCTTATTTATGGCTATTTATAAGTGATTTTTTTCAATTCCTTTCTCTAGAGTCCATAACTGTATTGAATGATGCTCTGAGTCAGATAGAGTCTCAAGGGAATGTTTCTATGAATTCAACAAGCTCTGGATCACTGGTCTCTTCATCTGTTGATATGGTAAGTACCTCTGTCTACCAGATGCATTCAAAGTGAGGTGGAACCTTGAGCAGAGAGACTTATTTTACTGATCAGCTTCTACTCTGGCTTGTTGTCTGCAAAAAGAAGGGTGGGTTTTAAACTGTGAAGAGAGGAAGCAGAGTAAGAAACATCTCCAGACTTCATTCTTTATTTTTTTACTGATGATGGGAAAACTTAAGGCTAAATAGACTGAATAATGCAGAATGCAAGTGCTTGTGAGTTCTGTAAAACTCTTTAGTTAGGATGTTGTTCAGAAAAGGGGCAGAGGATGGGCCTTGCTAGGCAGTGTGGTTTTGCTCGGGCTCCTTCTCCATATATAGATAATTTTTCCTTTTTTCAATCTTATTACGGTTTTAATTACTTCATTTGTGGTTTGTTTTAGAAAAATTCTTACGCATTGCTGGGAGCAGAGCTGTAGGAAGTTAACTACTTTTTCTTGAAGCAAATTGATTGCAACAAGATACAATGCATTATATTATGCTTGCTTGTACTGCAACAAATACATATTTTATGGTATATTTATTATTCATACTTAATGTTTACATGTGACTATAAAGAAAATGCTCAAATGTGAATTTTGTTTGATATGAGACTTACAGAAAGAATGCAAGTGCGATATTAACTATTACCAATTTTTATTTTATGCTGATTTTTAATTTCCAGGAAAGTGTTATTGGCCGGGAATTGGCTACCACTGTCTATAAATATACTCACTTAGAGCCTATTCTATATGCCCTTGGTGTGGGAATGTCAAGTAAGGATCCAGATCACCTAAAATTTCTCTTTGAAGGAAGTGAAGAGTTCTGCTGTCTACCTAGCTTTGGAGTAATTCCTGCTCAGGTTTCGATGTTTGATGGTGTTCCTTCTCTTCCAGGACTAAATATGGATGTCACACAGGTATGGAAGACTTGAGTAGCTAATTTTGTTTGTTCTTTATATAACTTTAAGGTGACTTTAATTAGTGTGTTTGTAATAAGTTCTCTTTATTCTATAAAAAGAAAATGCAGTATTTTTTATTCTTACATCTTAAGAAATTATTCATTTTCTTTACTTGTATAACCTCTGTCTTCATAAGATGGTATGAACGATCAATGTTTTGTTAAATTTTAATGTGGGTTCACAATGATTTCACTAAACCACAGAAGTTTAAAACTTTCTTTGAAAATATTTTCTGTTGGGGGTGAAATTGGAAAAAACAGAACAAAAAAACTTGTGGTTTTTTTTAATTTATTTTTTTTTTCCTGACCATTTTCTAAAATAACAGTATATTTCCTTGCAATTATGATGGGGGAAGCAATAGAATATATTGATTGTTGTTATACTGCTGCCTTTCTTTACGTAGATGCTGCATGGTGAGCAATATCTGGAACTGTATAAAATGTTGCCAACCTCAGGTCAGTCCTTTTGTGTTGCTGATTTCTTTTCACTATGACAGCAGTTCCTGTAGCCATATTATAAATGGGAACAGGGAAGCTCTGTTTCCAACTGGATTATTTGCATAATTTTTTTTACAAGGGGTGGAGAAGAGAGACAACCTGTTGTGTTACTGAAGGATTCTGAAACTGTTCTTGGGATCAGGTGTTGCTTTTCTACAGTATATGTAGTAAACTCATGCGTAATTTTTGATGTACAAGCAAATACACTACATGCTGGTATATTATGTGATTTGATACAAACTAGCAGAACTTTTAATTCTTTCTGTCAGGTTGTATTATAGAACTTTTGGGATGTTTGCCTAAGGATTCTTCAACATTGGTTGCAACTGTGTGCCCATAAGAGGATAAGATTTAAATTATATATGCAAAGGAGGAATGGACATCATGATGAGGAGGTTAAAAACCAGTTACTTTGCTTCCTGTCAAAATTCTCAAGATACTAGTTACTGCAATAGCAAGCTCTATTCAAAGATGGCTGTGTTTTTGCAGAGTAGAAACTCTTAAGAAGCGCTCACTAGACTCATTCAGGATATGTGTGCATGTGTCTGGGTTTTTTCTTTAGTAATTTTTAAAAATTAACTTTTCCAGAGTGTAGGAGGAAAAAAAAAAATTGCAAGCCACAGATAAATGGCATAATTTCTTGTTGAAATAAAAAGATGTGTGAAAGTAGTATTAACTTCAAAGAAGACTGATAATTAATAATGGATTGCCAGGACTTCATAAAGCTTGTTATTTTTCCATTCCATAGGCTGATTATGTAAACATACATGATTAAATATCTCTCTAGAATAATAACCTCTTTAGAGACAAACTTCATAAATCTACAGGACCAGGCCCTGAGCTCGAGCTTCTCTTCTGTAGTAATGTAGTCTCAGCCCTCTTTAAATTTGTGGACAATTCTTAAGTGATTTGAGCTATCTTTGAAGTTAGCAGTGTGTTTGAGTCTGAAATGTGATTTGTGTTTAGCTCTGAATACATAAACCATAGTGAAAATCCATCCAAAAAAAAAAAAAAAAATTCCTCACATCTGCAAAACAAATTTTGCAAATATTCCCAGACACTTCTGTTATAATAATTATGATTGTGATTACTATGAGTATTACCATGATTATTATCTCTACTCTTATTATTGTTAGTGAGGAAGTGTAAAGAGTGATCTGTGGACTTCATTGCTGAAGCAAAACTTTACAACATGTATGTGTTCTTTTCGTACAGGGCAGTTAACTTCAGTTTCAACCATTGCTGATATTCTTGACAAAGGATCAGGAGCAGTCTTGCTTATAGATGGTAAGAAGGTTTATAATTTTTGGAGGGGATGCAGTAAAATTTGACAGGCTCAGTTTCTAACTAGCTGTACTAATAACTGCCAGCCTTCCATAGTAAAAGCTGCTAGCTTATTAAATTTCAATGAGCTCTGAGAAAAGAGCTAATTAACAATAGCTGTATAAATGTATAATAACTGTTCTTGGGCAGTTAAAGTACTGAAATAAGAACGCTCTCTTTGGAAAAAGATTTCAGACAAAGTTTCTTTTACTTCCTATGTAGACTAGGTGGAATAGTGCATTATACAAACTGAACAAAGTTCTTTAATAATAATACTTAGTCCTATCTGAAGGGAGCCATTTTAGATTCTGCCACCCTTCAGCAAAGGGGTGTGTGAGCATTGTACTTCTGTTTTGTGGGGTGGTTTGCAAAGATTAGTCCTAAGTCTGTGCTGCGTAGACTTATCTGCGAAGCAGCCCTCTTTAAGAGCATGTCCTCTGTTCTTTTTTTATGTCTACATTATTATTTTCTAAACAAAACAGAAATCCATTTCCTTCCTCTTGTTCAAGTTAAAGGATCAGAATGTCTCTGGGAAGTTGATAAGTGGTCATTTTCAGAATTTTGATATCTTTATGTGTTATTATACCAAGGTCCCTTGGGAAATTAGACTGCATGGGCATGTTAATAGGAAGTGAATCTCTAAACACTTTTGAGCTTTTATTCCTTCAGTGTGCAGATAAAACTGTGAAAAGGCCTTTACTGTCCCTTTGTTCCTCTGAGTTATGTTTTGCTTCCATACTGAGCTAACGTTAAGCCTGTCTATTTCTACAACACAGAAAAGTTCTTTTTGTGAGTAGAGTCCTAGGGGTTTTTAAATTTCTTCTGGAACTGGAAATGAACATTACTAGCAATACTGTAAATTTCAGACTAAGGTGGAAGGGAATGGAATAGGCATGAAATGGAAATAGGAGGGTGAATCACACTTCAGTGTAAGAAGTTTAATTTCTTCAAAAGAACATACAGGTGACCTTAAGCTAAAGCGTGCTCTGGAGCTATTCTCATACAAAATACTAGTATGGCTATTTGTATGAGTTGATAATGTGCTTTACACACTAGGGATTCTTAATAGCTTCTAATGCTTCATATTTTACGGCACAATTCTATCATATTTAAATAAATTGCCAAAGCAGTGTGAGATGTTAAAATAAATATTAATTTCAGCATTCGCTTTTTAGATATTTTTAGCATCTTGAATGTCATCAGCACTTGATAGATTATTTTCTAATTTTAATGCTTTCATATAGATAAAATTAATGATAAGGTTATTTGAAACAGATCATTAGTCTTCACTAGTCAGAAAGTGACTTGCAACAGTGTGACATGAAAGTGTGACCATTGTCTCTTTGGTTGTTAAAATGAGCTTTGTCATGTTTGAAGCTGAACTTTTCTCTTTAATAACAAATTCTGGCTCTATGGAAAAGGAGATTGAAGATAATATGTGACCTTCCTCTTTTGTTGTCTTTCAGTGAATACCTATTGTGGAGAGGACCTAGTGTGTTATAATCAGTTCTCTTTATTTTTTGTTGGAGCTGGAGGATTTGGTGGAAAACGAACATCAGAAAAGGCCAAGGTAAATTCATGCATATTTATATAAAAAATTGCATTAAAAAATTCTGTCAGCAGTGCAGGAAAAATATTTTCTATATCAACTAGGAAGGATGCACTAGCACTTGAGCAGTGTGGCAATACAAACTAGATTGGAATTTAAATACTTCTGTTCATTGGAGATTATGAGTGAAAAAGTACTTTTCAGGGCCTGGGAAACCAGTGGTTTTGTTTTGACAGGGAGAAAAGTGAGTTGCTAAACATGTCATCCAACTGATGACATATTCCTACATTCAAATATTTGAAATTACAGATATAGAATATCCTAATGGAAAACAGAATAGGAGGTTCTCTGGAAAATGTTTAAAATCTAAATTCTGTGGACTTGGAATTAGAAAATTATGTCTGAAGTTAAAATAAAATTGAAAATCATATAAAATGCATGATGATGTGGACAGAATGCTCCTTTAGAAGATTCATATTAGCCCTTTTAGAAGAGGGTCTTTTGAAGTCCCCAGTGTAGCAGGCTGTAATCAGACCCAATTTGTCCCAGCTAGTTCCATAGAAGTGGTAAAATCTGCTACGTATTGTACTTTGAGCTGTGCTAAATTCCTTAAAATCCTGCTTCTGTAGGTCAGACAGAAGATGCTATCTGTTCAACTGTCCAAATTTGGCAAGAATCTTACTGACTTTTGGTTTTATGAAACCCAAATGTAAGCTTTACAAACAAAAGAAACTTTATGTGTTTTGATTTTTATCTATTCAGTTACTCCCAATCACACTCTCCATAAATGAACAGATGAGGAAAGTTACTAATTTCTTGTTAAAAGCTAGCTTGGGAAAGGTTTAATTTTCACAATCTACTTTTGATCAGAAAAATTTTGAGACACCTCTTAGGTCAAAACAAGAACAGAGAAGTGGCTTTTGTTTGTAAGTCTTGGTCTTCTCAAGTAGATTCGGGGATCTCTACCTCTCTTATACGTTGCTTTAAGAGCAGATTTTTTTGGCTGCTGTTGTTTGAACATGGGTATCAAGGAGAGTGACAAAGAAGTTGAGATTTTAGATACTTTGTCTAGGGGCCTATTACAGAGCTGCTGGTTTGTGACAAATTGGCTCATAACAGACTCCTGATTTAAACCTGTCTCAGCTCTGCTGTCATGATCGCATTTCAATTTCTGCCTCACTGGTTACATCTCCAGTTGGGACTGTGTGTTGTGGGTTTAGTGTTACAGTGTGTTCTGCTGCTCCACCTCAGAGATTTATTTGCTTCTGTTTAAAGGGATGCAGAGGCTATTTATATTTCAAAATAATTTGATGCTTAGTGATAATTTCATATGTATGTATACATAGAGTGTTCATGTTTTTCCTTATGTGTTAAATTTATGCTGCCAGGTCATATGTCAGTATTGCTAGATGTTGATCTAGTAAAAAGACTAGCTTAGTAAAAAGCGGAGAAGTACTCAAATGTGTGGCGTTAGGTTTGAACTTGCAATTTCCAGAAGAGATCTCTAGGTGTAGCTCTTTATAAATCTATGTATTTGCGTGAAAGAGGTTTGGAAAGCATAAAGAGGAAAAGAAAGAAATAGCATTATAGTTTCTCACTTCCAGTGGAGCAGAACTCCTGCATTTGGGAGGGAGTTAGCAAATGACAGTGTCACATCAACACATACTGTGTATGTCCAAATGCATGAAGTAGCTGTTCAGGTATCTGACATATAACTATTGTCTGTTTCAGTACTATGTTTAAGGGTAGTGCCAGCTGTGACCGAATGTTGTTATTGTGAACTAGAGCCTTGAGGCTCTACAATAATAAACAATCAGTTGAATACAGGCTATTTTAAGCTCAGTATTTTTGAAAATTTATAATGAAATACCTAGGTTTTGTACATCTGTAATACTGTAGGTAATGTTCTTTGGGATTTTTGGATGTAAACTTAGAAGTTTTTTGTCTTAAATCTGTATCAATTATATAGAAGTTTTTCCATATGTAACTTTACAAATCAAATCTTGAAATGCCTGGTGCTTCAAAGAGAAATGGGAAAAGCCTTTGTGTAGTAGAAGAAAGTCACAGAATATTATTTCAGACAGTGTATAAAGGTCTTTGATGGAGCCCTTAATTCTTCTGTAATCAGACTTTATAATAGTGTATGTAAGTAAAATAGTGGTTCAAAGGACATGTTGCTTATCTATAGTCACATCAGTGAGTCCAGTGTAGTGCCTTGTCACGTTTTAGTTAAACACTGCACTTGAGTCAATTGCAACTTCTTCACTCCAGTGAAGTATGAGAATGCTATATTAATGATTTTATATTTTAAAATATAAAGAATACCTGTTTCAGTCAGCAGTCCTTCTTGTGATAGAAGAAAACAAAGTATAGTCCAGTTAAGACAACACAGCAACAGCAAATTCAACATATGACTCTGGATGCAAGAGGCCAGTTTCAAACAAATTTTCCCGCCTTGTCTTCGCAAACCTTCACAATTAAAGACTCTCATGGACCTCTGTACCAAAAAGAGATCCCATGCTGATCAGACATATTTTATAATATGTCTTTTTGTCACTTTACACGTTTATTGTATCTGCAAACTGAGGAGAATAAACTTCCAAGTTGAGGTCTATGATGAGCAACACATTGTGTAAATCACATCTCTCCTCTTGAATTGGGGTTTTCTTACCCTAGTAGCAGAGAAATTTCCTTAATTATTCATATGTGGGCTAGTTTTAGTGTTTTAGTGGCTTGGTAGGTCAAGTTGAGTTTCTCTAAGCCAACTGGAAATAGATTGGCAAGCCATTCTTGTTTTGAAATCATGTTAGGTAGTGTCCTTGTTATTAAGCTTATTAATGTGTAGGTCCATTGTGGTTCTCTGAGTTGACAAGAGCAGGAGCGATGTTATCAAGTCTTCTACCCAAGAGGTGGCTTTGCTCTGCTGTTAATGAACAAGAAAGAGCCTTTGCTGTTATTAGATTTGAAACTACACAGCACTCGGTTTCCTTTGATTTCTCTTTTCTCTGGTGGAGTTTACACAAACTAAGATTAAGTAGAATTACTACAGGTGAGATTCTAGTTGTTTCATTTCACAGCCTACTCGAGTTTCTCTTTGTTCAGGCTTTTTCATTTGTTTGTTTTGAAAACCCAGAGAAGAGGAGGGGGAGGGGAGAAGACTTCAGCTACTTTAATAGTTTTGAATTGGTTATGGTGTTCTTAGTGTTTATCGTGATCTAGGATGGTCTCTATCAGTCTGTTGGTAAAGTTTATATCATCAAAATGAACAATCAAGCTGTAGATCGCACAAGGAGCAGCTTTTTTACAATAATGTGAGGCTTAATATGCACCATGTAATTGCAAAACAACGGAAAAAAGTGCAAAACAAAAAAGAGCTGGAAGCTGTTGAAGGCCAAAAGTGATGTATTCCATGAGGGAGGTAGTAAATAATTTTGTACTCCATTGCGCTTTTAAAAGTATTATTTTAAAAGATTCGTATTTGTTTCTGTGTTCCAAAACACTAATGTTCTATGACATAACTATTTTTTCCAGATTGAGTAATTCTTGCTTGAACTTTTTTTGATCATTTGGAAGAAATGTAATCAAACTGATCAGCTATAACATGTAACTGTTAGCCAGATCTAATGTCTCAGGATCGTTATCTTTGTAAAGCTAACCTTGATAAGAGACTTCTTCTTGCTTAAATATCCTTTTGTATTTGTTTGTAAATGTAGAAAGGGTAGGAAGAACCTTAACAGCTTTGTAAATGCTGTTTCTCTGTATACATAGCTGATGTATTCTGACATAGGTGCAGATAAAGAATTTGGCAGTGGTGTATTAATACTACTACTTTTGCTTTAGGTAACAGTGAATCCACCCAAAAGACCACCTGATGCTGTAATTTCTGATGTCACAACAGCTGATCAGGTAATGTTTTATATGCTCTAGGTGTGGAAATGTTTGTTTTGTTTGGAGAAAGGAGTCTTGTATGATGTTCACTAATAGTTCAAATTTCGTGATAGACCTCAGGTATTTATATAGCTGTGTGTGTATATGTGTATGTGTGTGTGTATCTATGTATAATGTGAATCTAAAATTTGTGCTAGGTTAAGTTATGAAAGTGTGTTCCATGTACTATGTAAATCATTCTTTTCATAAGGGTGATGCAATTTTATATTTGTTTATTACAAGATTCCATGTAGAAGGAGGAAACGAACATTTGTATTTTGTTGTAGTTTAAAAAAAAAAGGTTCAAAATAATGAAATTTACAACAGATGATGCAAGCACATTGTTAAAAAAAAGTAAGAAAGTGCTTAAAAGTTCACAGTTTTGAAAAAGTTAAACTTCAGTAGTAGTAGTAAGTCAGGGAAACCTGAAATACTGACAGATGTCTGTCCAGGTATGTTTCCATCTGTCCACAGTCCCACTGGTTCACAGGCATCTACTTTCCATATGCAAAAACCTGAGTAAATAAATACATCCTCCTCTGAAGGGAAACATATGCAGATAAAAATAAGACAGGAAAGTCTGGAGCTACCAGTATTAAGACACTGGGTAGTATTTTCAAAAGCAACTTAGTCATGACAGGAGGCAGTAGCTTTTGGAGATGTAATTAAAATGTTGAGCATTAGCTGCACTGTGATAACTGTGATGTCTGCTTAGCCTCTGATTATATATGGAGTAATTGAACTTAGGTCTCATCCAGCTGATTCATGTGCTTGAAGTTCAAGTTAGCCGTACCCACTTAAACCAGGAAAGAGAGCTTCGATCAGCATTTCTGTTTTTATCACTGATGTACTTGCTGTATCCTAAAATTCACAGCATCAGTCTAGGATGTACAGATGCCTAATTCTTCTGAATAGGCTTAATTGAAAGTTGTCAAGGTGAGCAAAGAGTGGGGAATGGTGAGACAGTACTTTGTTCCTGGGATATGGTTAAACATAAGGGAAGGTGCTCTCTGGGGGCCGGCACTTTATTAGATAAGATACAGCAACCCTAATGGCCCAGTAGTTAAAAGTATTTACTTTGTTGGAACCCCAGTTCAGATTCTGCTCTGCATTATTATATCAGAGTTGATTCCAGGTCTATGAATTTTCAGATTTTATGATCCCCTTGTCATATGGTAATCTTAGCTTCTGAGCCTTAAACTCTTAAGTCTGGAATTGTTACTGTGTATAAAATGCTAAGTTTATGAGATAAAAGCACATGGTAGTGACCCTATAATGCAGAAGTTGGGAAACTTCGTTACTGCAAAATTGATTTTTGAAAATAAATGAAGTGGCATAGAGTAACAACCACACCTGTTCTGTTTTAAGATCTACTGTGACAGGTATATATATAAAGAGAATTCCTCTCTGATTAGATTTTGCAGGAGCCACAGCCAGCGTACTTTGAGAATCGCAAGAAGGCTTATCTGCCAAATTATTCAGTAGCATCTGTGCTTAAGTGATGATGCCTGTGTACAGGAGGAGGAATGTGTAGAACTTGGGAACTTGATGGGCAGGATTATAGACTTTCAAGTGAAGGACAGCTTGGGGAAATGTTATCAAGATTTTACATTTATGTGTCTGTGGAATGACACATAACTGCCTAAAATCCTTTTTGAAAATGAAAGCTGGCACACAAATTGCATCGAAGTTTCTTAAATTTTTTTTCTTAGTGTTTAAATAAAAAACATGTTGGCAGAAATGACTGTTGCCATTCAGCAACTGAATTAGTATAGAGTATGAGACAGACTGAAAGAGTCAGTTTGCAGATGGCATTTGCGTTAACTTGAACTATATTAATTTCCAATGATAGTTGTGACAATCACCACTCAGTTTTTGTGTTACCACAATTATGTGGCTAAACTGCTCTTCATAATTAGCATTTTCCCCCTAACTTTTCATAGCATGATCATGTAGTAAGCTTCTTGGTAAGTAGACCATCATGTATATTTTAAAAATGTTTGCAGTGATGACTTCTATCTTTCACTGAAGTCAGTGACTGTGGTTATCTTGAAAATTATATTCAGTTATAACTCAGCTACACTGGGTTAATTTCTTTCCAAGAGGGAGAATATTTTTAACATGTTTTCAGACATGAGGAAGTGCTGCTTAGTGAAGAGCATGCTGGGAAAAGAGGGCTAATAACCATTTTTAACCTTTACCATGTGTTCAGCAGAATGGAAGGTACAGCCATCTACAGTTCCTTGAAAAATGGTTGTGTTATGTCAGTGACCATTGACAGAACAAACTAATCCTCTTGGTTAGTGGTATCAAAGGATAATAGCATGTAGTATAATAAATGTTTATCCCTTTCAAATCTGTACCCATTCCTGAGAAGTTCTTTAAACACCACCCAGTGCTTACGAATGAGTTGCAGTACCATGGTATAAGCTGCTTAAAGATGAAAAAGCGGTTAAGAAAAATTTAGAAGTATGTGACCTTCTAAAAGGCTTTAAGGCTTAGAATTTGCATCCTGCTGAAGAAGAACATAAAAATATTTCTTCCTGTGTTCACGATTTTTTCTGCAAAGAACTAGGTGACATTTTTTCTGTCTTGCCCTGTAGAGATGTGCATGTGCTGTGGCATTTTTCTAGCTTGTTCTCTCTCTCTAACTTGAGCTTTGCTTTACTGGATATACTGCCATAAATTTTTTTAATAGACCTTTTGACAAAAGATCAAGAAGTCTAGAGGGTGTTTGACTATTAGCCATTTAGGAAGAAATGAATCATTCAATTTCAACACTGTAGGGAATGTTTAATGTAGTTGCAGAGCTTCAGTGTCACCAGATTACTCTTGTCCTGCCGGCTTTCAAATCAGGGCCTTAAATTAATCAATCAAGCAGATTTTGCTGAATGGTTCCTAATGCAATTAAGAAACACAGGCAGTGAATGACCTGTACCTCTGGAGAGTTTTGTGTCTCTTGAGTTTTCTTTTAATTCCCTTCCCAAATGTGTTGATTTCTTGGGAATTCATTTTCTGATGACACACAAAATAACCTATGCTGGGTATTTAAAGCAGATGATGTCCAAGTGATGCAGGTCACTTTGCAGGAAGGAAATAAGTATGGAGTCTTGAGTTTGTTGGGGGCTTTCTGTGGTTTATTTTGTTTGCTTCTGATACTGTGCAGGTTGCCTTCCAAGAAATAAAGTGTTCTCTATCTTCAAATATCAGAATTAATATTCAGAATACACAATTTTGTGACAATAAATGAAGAGTATAACAGTAGCTCATAAAATGGAATTTTTCAGTAAGTTGTTTCTGTTTTACTATTCTGTATTTCTTCCCACTTTCTTCTGAAAGCCACCTGTCCTGTTTGCCTATATGGAAAAAAATAAAGCTGTAACATGCGGAGTTTGCAGGATTTCCAAGTTTTTGTTAATGTCAGCTCATTTCAGTAAAATGTCTAATAATTTTAAGAAATGGTTTTCAGGTGAAAAATTCTCTATGTTTGCAACAGTGTCATATATTTCACTATAGCATTCCTCTAGTTTGAGTTCTGACTGTGCATTTGTTACTTACATTGATAGAGAGAAATAGATGTGACAAAGAGGTAGAAAAGATAGATTTTGAAGAACATCGTGTCTCAGCCTACCATGATTTGGGACCAACTGTGTAAATGCAACTGTGCCCCCTGTAAATCTCTGCAAAGCAGTGTCATGTGAGCTATCACATGTGAATTTCTGCCAGAGGTACTTTTCCATGCCACTTTGGTATCTCAAGCACATGATGCTTCTGCTCTGTGGTTTCCAGGCTTAGTAAAATTGGACATCCTTGCTTTCAAGAATTTTTAAATTCCTTGTTAGAGCTGATGAAGCTGAGACTGATACTGGTCTGTTGGAGGAACAGTTTTTTGATATCTTGCCATTTTAAAGTTGCTTTAATTTGGAAAACTACAATAATATTTTAAATGTTGCAGAGTCTCTAAAAAGATAAAAATTCCAATTAAAGCTAGCTTTGTTTGTAGTCTTAATCCCCTTCATATGCAATGCTTTATGATATGGTTTTCAGTCAGGCAGGCAGAAATGATGTGGTTTTCCTCTCCTTCAAGAACTTCCACAGGCAAGGACAGGGCTCTAGGCATGAGCTGAGATAGTGCAGGAAGAAAGTTTTCTTATGTTGTTTCTTGCAAGAAGTTGTGTTCTGAGAAAGAGTAATGAGAGGAAAATGATCTCATGGTTAGTGACTGGTTAGAGCTGCATTTCTTCGACAGTGGATTTTCTTTTGCTTTGTCCATAAAATTCTTATGGTCTGTAGGTAACTGTTACCCAGATATTCCAAAGTACTCAGACATGGGTTCTCCTTAATCAGGGGCTGATAGGAGAGGGTGAGATGATGGAATCTGCAAGATGAAATTAGGGAGTTGGATTAGCAGGAGGGTGTCTGAGCATCACAGGATGAAATTGAAATTCATAGGAGCTGTGTTCTGAACTTGTATAATGTACTTTGAAAATGTGATGCTCTTGGTTTGTGTTGCTGACAATTATGACCTTTTCTACTGTCTTAGAGTTTCCAGTCTATAATGTAAGAGTGTTTATAAATGTTTGAGGCATTTTAATTGTACAGAGGGTGTTGAAAGGAGTGGCATATAGCATCTGATGGTGATTTTTGAGAATGCGATGCAGTGAACAGCATAACAAAAAAGCCAATTTATGGAATATAATGATTTCTTTACTCATTCAGAGATTTTTAGAGATTCAGTAAATTCACACCTGGAGTAATATGAGAGGATTTAAAATATACAAGCCTTCTGCTCCAGGTATAGATCAGGCATTGACTGACAAGATGTGAAGAAAACTTACACTTTTTAGTGGTTTAGATTTTTTCTAAAGTACAGTTCTATTCCATTTTCTCTGAAAGGGTAGAGAATATTTAGCATGTACCATTTTTCAAGTAGTGTCATCAGCATCCTGTGACTAAGACTGCCGGAGTGTCCTTCCCTT